ATAAATAAATAAATAAATTCAGACAAATAAGCATCAGCAATAGCAAAACAGGTGCCTTTTTGAAGATTTAATACTGGTATTAACAAACCTGCTTTATTGTCATGCCATGCTGCAAGTTCAGTCGATGAGCTTGCGTGAGGGTCCTTAGATCCCAGATGAATCCCTCACAACTTGCGACAGAGAGACAAAAGTTTCCATCAGAGCTAAATGAAACTTGAGTGGGAGGTTCAGTATGTCCAATAAGGGAACCAAACTGATGGTTGGTCTCTGAAAATTAACATTGTACATGAATTATTAGACCTTTTCAATTCTCAGCATCTGAAGAGGGAAACTGGAAATCAGGACCGGAACCAGTTTTAAAACTGACACGCTGTTGAAGTACAAGATTCTAACAAGGTTCTAGTGCTGATTTCTTTTCTTTTTGTCCTTATATGGCCTATGCATATGCCGAGAGCGGATAAGGTATATTGTGATTGAATCAAGAGAAAACTTCAAGTTTCAGTTGAAACAAAGAAGTGAGGAAATTTCCACTCACCCACATTCAAAATTTGCAAATTTTGTTCCTTGCTCCCAACCAACAGCTCAGCTTTTTTATGCGGGTGAAATGAAAGGAGGCTGACTGAAAAGTCCTTTCCTAAAGGCCAGAACCTAACAAGGAAAAGATGGAGATATTTGAAAATGGTGAATGAAACATCTACTTAAGGTGGATGAATGGTACACTTACATGCAGTTGCCAAGATCTACAATGAATAAGTTCCCACGGTGGTCAGCTAGGGCAAGCAAATCATCACAAGAACTAAATGATGCCAACAGGAAACGAGTTCGACGAATGTCTCCGGTAGGTCCTGGCGTTGTATGGTGAACTTTAAGAAGAAGGCTATATACAAGAGGAAACCAATTTTAATAAGTTAATGATGTATAAATAAATTGAAGAAGGAAAAGAAAGGATATGCACAGAACTCAATTTACCCATCTTGTCGATTGACCTTCTTTTCATAACGCTGCTTGAACACAGGCGTTTGCAAGTCTGATGCTGATTTCATCTTGTGCTTGTGCTTTGTGTATGTTTGTTTACATCAACAAACTGTCAAGGTGCCATAACCTGTACTCATGCAGTTTAAAATACCTCACATCATAAATCCTTTACATGACAGTTGATATCAAAATTAGAAGACAAATTTTGATGGGAAAGATACACTGAAAACACTAAGTACAAGATTTTCTTGCGTTCAGTGTGTTCTGCCGGTATTCTGAAGGACAATCGTTTCTTGGTTTTACCGCTCTCCGCCGGTAGTGGAGGAAGGGAAAAGGGGAGGAGGGGGAGGAGGGGGAGGGAGGTAAGGGGTAAGGGGTAAGGGAGGTGAGGGCAGGAAATCAGAAATAGAGGGAAATAGGAAATATGAACTTCGATGAACAGAACGCAAAACACAACTTTATTTGCAAATTGTAGACAGGAGAGAGATTAAGTCAGGATACAAAAGTACACAACATACATAACACAAAAGTCTAATGGTCCATCAAGCATAAAATACTTTATTCCTTTAACACGTTGAGTGCGGCGGGGGTAGGCAATCCTATGTTATTGTGACCCACGGTGTGGGTCACGCCGCACTGAACGTGTTAAATGAAAAGGATCAAAACTCAAAACAGCACAGTTAAGGCGGGCCGTTTTTCTTTCAATTGTTTCAATGGTTCCTCCCACACTGCCTTACTGTCTCCACATCCGTAACTTTTTATCTCTAACGTGCATAATTTAGGCATGGCTCCACCCACAATGGATTTAACAGTCAATGGTGCCAGTCGAACAAATGGGCTTTCTTGGAAAAATATATAGAACTCCAACAAAGAGAATTTTTGGACCTCTTTGCATTTGTTGATGAGGGCCTGCATTAGATTACAATAATTTGCTGGATTTGACGTTGCTGTGATGGTAAAGTTCTTCAAATTACCCAGTAGAGGTGCTGTTGAAACAAAGTGCTCATCAACCCTACTATTAGGATTTGAGTGCTCCTGAAAATGGTCAAAAAATAAAATTAGGCCAGTGTAATGCAATACAATACTGCATGTCTCTTTTAGTGACTACACATACCTCCAGCGAATATAACTCAAGAGAGTGAACCTTCTTGAGGTCTTTGAAATGTTCAAGATTTTTTAAGCAAGGTAGATTAAGACTCTCAAGGTTTTGGCATTGTTTCAAGGCCTTCATTGTCTTCAAGCCACCGTTGTGCCCAGCCCTAAAAACTTGGAGGGTACTAGTGGCAGCAGACACCATTAGAGCAGCCAAATCATCGTTGAAGTAGCTCTCTCCCTCAATTTCTAGCGCACTGAGTTTCCATGAACCAGGGGGAGGAGAGGGTACAGACCTTATGAGGGGCTTGGCATGGATAAGCTCCAGGCTCTTCAGGGAAGTCATTTGAAGCAGGGAAGAGTAAACTATGTGGTCCAATTCTCTGATGAAGAAAGGGAAAGGATCCATAATTTCACATCCACATAACTATAATATCTATAGTTCAAGAATATTTGATTGATTACTTACTCATACCACTGTTCAATGTCACCAAACTCCCATATCTCGTTGAATTCCAGGGAGAGGTGCTTCAGGCAAGGAAGATCTATTAATGCTTTCATTATCTCTGAAAGCTTAATTTTCACATTTTCGAGTTGATCCCACGAGCCCACTTTATCAACCTCCACATTATGTAACATCACACTACTTAGTGTTTCTCTGTTTGCAATGATAAGATCAAGAAGACCTATTAACAAGTAAAACATTTACTCTCATTTTCGTAAACTTGTTTCATATGTGTTACAATATTGCATAATGCTCTTGACATACCCTCAAAGTAAGTATTACAGCAAAGAGAGGCTAATCCTATGTTTCGTTGAAAGTTGGCACCAGCCTTCTTGTTAATAACTTTAGTGGTTGGCCACGACGATGTATCTTCATTGGCGGCCTCTTCAGCCTCAACAACTTCCACGGGAACTTTAGATAAATTTAAGGAACTAAGGTAGGGCACCTCATTCAATGTTTTGACAAAGCTATTTTAGAAACAATTAAAGCATAAGTCATTGAAACTTTGGATATTCAAATATACAGTCACAATACACACAAAATAACTTACTCCTTCACGTATGTTTCGTTGTCCTTCTGTTTCTCATCAAAGATCAGGCCCCTTCCCTTCCAAACATACTTATCTTGGGCTAGCCTGCTCCACCTGCTGCAGACTCTCGGCACCTCATTTAGCAGATGATCCATGTCAATCTTCTTCAAGAAAAGGACCATGATCTCATCTGGCAGCCTGTTGATTAGGCACTTGTCTTCCTGTGAAAGTAAGAAAACCAAAACTTAAGAATAATCTTGGAAGTGAAAGTGGAGCATATGCCAGATTGCATGTATGGACTCGTTGCAAAGTGATATAAACTACTTGTTGATAAATATTGCTAACAGGACAATTACAATCATTTAACAATGATAAAAGTACCTCAATAGCTTCCATTGTCTCGTCATCTGTATGTATCTTCTTGGTGCTTGACATGATCAGCCTTCAGCCTTCAGCCGGCAGCAGACGAGGATCCTCCAGTTGTTGTTGATATGCAAACCAAGCGCTTGTAACCGGACACCGGTACCGTTATGGCGGTGGCGGCTGTTCATGTTTCGCACAGTTTTCAGTCATGCCGTCTCTGTCCCACCTGTTGGCAAAGCCCCACGAGTGCGAAAAGGACGGAGTTAGGAAAACACGGTGTGGAATCAACAAAGGCAGGGAGTAGTGCCTGACTGCTGGAGATACTTTGCGCGGTGAAGGTGACTACCCCGCCCCACATGCCAATGTAAGATTTCGTTAGGTCGCTGCGCTAGCTATCTTTTCAACAACAACACCGCTGTGTCAGTCGGTTCTCTTACCTTCGTTAACGCTCACGTGGCGTCGGAAATCCAAACCACGTATGTGGCTTTGTGAAGAGTTTGTTTTCTTTTTAATTGAACAGGTAAGTCGATGTGAAACACCACGTAACTCTAACCTATGCCTTTAAATAAGCTATTTCAGAGAAATGGAGAAGAACAGCACGAATAACAAGGAGGCCTGTGATTCGTCGCTCAGTTGGAGGGGGGAAACCGGGCGACGAATCACGGGCCACCTTGTTATTCGTGCTGTTCTTCTTTCCCATTTCTCTGAAATAGCTTATTGTTCCCCTCCCCCCAGTTCTCTCTTATTCTAAAGGACACTCATAAAGATGGTGTGCTCAACGGAATATTGTTTCTGCAGGGCATATACTAGAGCGATAACACAATACTATATGACACAGTAGTCTCACCCTTCGCTACAAACTTATTCCCAGGTCTTCAATGTTCCCCCGGGCTCTCTGCCCGACCAATAACTTCACCCTCCTGCGACTGATCGAGCAACAAGACAACAACAGCAGGTGAGCAGCTTGGTTTCTTCCAGAAAGTACGTCCGTCATTCGCCGTTGCAAAACTGTTAAGTTGCGCCACTGTTGGCTATCATAGCGCCTTGCACGTAGGCAACATATCGCCTGCGATGCATGCGTGTACTGCGGGGTGGCCCACCCGGAATGTCGCAGGCGCCGAGCTCCCGCAAATTGCCGAATTAATCTGAGAAAAACGGATGTACTTTCTGGACGATCCGTGTTGAGTCAGTGTAGCCCGTGGTTGTGGCATGGGTACTCAATACAGGTGCTTGCGACACGGCGGGCCCACCGCGGATGGTGCTCGGAGTGCCGTGCGGCTGCCGCGCCCGCGTGCTGGGGGGGGCGAGCACGAGCACGACGTCCAGCCCAACAAGAGAGCACTGCAGCGCCACCTGCAGGGCGTGCTGCGGCATGCGGCAGACCGGCTAGAGGACCTGCAGGATCTCTGCCGGGGCGAGCAGGTCGTCCAGGCCCTCACTCTGCTCACGGCCGAGGCGTGCAACCTGAC